CCAAAGTACTGAAATTACACGCATAAGCCACCATGGTCAACCTAAAAGGTGTACAGATCTATGAATTTTGACAAATGTGAAAGATCAAATAAGCCCACCAGAGTCTTAGCAGTCTCTCTCTCTCTTTTTTTTTTTTTTTTTTTGATACAAAGTCCCACTCTGTTGCCCAGGCTGCAATGCAGTGATCTTGGCTCACTGTAACCTCTGCCTCCCGAGTTCAAGCAATTCTCCTGCCTTAGCCTCCTGAGTAGCTGAGATTACAGGTGCAAGCCACCACATCAGGCCAATTTTTGTATTTTTAGTAGAGATGGGGTTTCACCAAGTTGGTAAGGCTGGTCTTGAACTCCTGACCTCATGATCCGCCCGCCTCGGCCTCCCAAAGTGCTGGGATTACAGGCGTGAGCCACTGCATCTGGCCAACAATCTCTTAATAGAGTGTTTCAATAACCCCCAAAAATTTCATCCTGCCTCTTCGTCATCAATTCCTTCCTTCCATCTCTATCCCATGGTAACCAGCGAGCAGATTTGTGTCCCTGTAACTTTTTGCAATGTCATGTAAATAGAATCACACAGGCTTGGTCTTATATCAGGCTTCTTTCACTTAGCATAATGCCTTTGAGATCCATCCATGTTGTTTCAGAATTTTACCTTTAGTACAGTACCAATTCTATCAGCTTTTTCTTTATGTGTATTCTAAGGACATGCAGAGTTTTGAACAGCTAAATAAGCCGTAGGGCCATGGCAATGTTTCTCAAAGCTCTGTCAGAGGAACACCTGTAGAATCACTTGGAGTGCTTGTTAGATTCTCAGATTGAGATCTATTGAGTCAGTGTGTCTGAGCTACTACTCAGTAATGGATGTTAACAAACACCCCCATGTGACTTTTACACATGGCTAAAGTAAGAGACCTTCAGCTGTTCAAGAATGAACAAGAATATTAGTCAGATGGCCTTCAATTTGAATGTGGTTCTGCCACTTACTAGCTTCATGAAGTTGGGTAAATTACTTAAGACTTCGCTGCACCTGTTTCTTCTTTTGACTGGGAAACAGTTAATTTATTCACTAAATGGTTTTTGAGCCCCGTTTTTAATTCTAGCTACAGCTCTAAAAACTGAGATTGCAGAGGCTAATAGGACAAAGTCCATGCCTTCATGAAGCACATACTCTATTATGGCAAGATAGACAATAAGCATTTTAGCCATAAATATGAGATAATTTCAGAACATTGATAAATACTCTGTAAAAGGAAACAATGTTTTGACACAGGGTAGCTTAGTTAAGGTACAGCCTAGGCTACTTGTAACAGAGAGTCAAAAACACATTGAAACAACATGGAAGTGGATTCCTCCTTTTTCCTCTGTAACTCTCTGGAGGAGGTGGTGAAAGACACATGTAGAATGCCTTTGTCACCCTCATGTCTGCAAATTTTCATCTTTCCATTGTCTAGTTGCTTGAATTTCTATCATCTGGTCTGTATTCCAGCTAGCATAAAGGAGCAAAAGTATGTGGGACCCGCGTGCCCATTTTTTTAAGGTTACATCACTTCTGTTCACATTTTATTGATTAGAACTTCCGGTCCATTACACATCTATCTGCAAGGGAAGCTGCGCAATGTAATTTCTACCTCTGTGGTCATGTGTTCAACTAAAACTCCAGAGGAGAATGGCTATAAGTGGACAACAGCAATCCCTGCCAGAGAGTGTGACTAGATGGGGCAGGAAACTACTTTAACCAGGGTAGTCAAAAAAAGCCTCTTTTTAAGAAAGTGATAGTTGAAGGAACCAATTGGTAGAGAAATTTCAATTCCCACTTGTGATCCTCAGCCAGGCACTTTCACATAGTCACAGCCTATGTGCCCTCATGCAACAGGGAGGTAATTTACTGTGTCTGCACTGCCTTAGCGTAGATTAAGAACAGGGTAACTGGGACAAGATCTTCCCCTAGAGAAATTGTGAAATTAGATGGAAATTTCCACCTCCTTTGTCAAGAGTTTTTAGGGTTTTAAAAAACCCATTTGAAGGATATTATAAAAAATTTTAAAAAATGAAGTAACTATTAAATGTGATTTGGATGGATTGCTTATACTCAAGAATGGATTTTCCACTGGGTATCAAATCATATCAAAAAACGTGTGCCCTACTGCTAATAGTCTATTTCTTGATCCAGGTGGAGGTTCACATGCGTGAATTAACCCTATGATCATTTCTTAAACATATTTTTGGCTGGGTACAGTGGCTCATGCCTGTAATCCCAGCACTTTGGTAGGTCGAGGTGAGCAGATCACCTAAGGGCAGGAGTTCAAGACCAGCCTGGCCAACATGGCGAAACCCTGTCTCTACTAAAAATACAAAACCCAGCCCTGTGCAGTGGTGCATGCCTGCAGGCCCAGCTACTTGGAAGGCTGAGACAGGAGGATCACTTGAACCCAGCCTGGGTAACAGAGTGAGACTCCATCTAAAAAAAAAAAAAAAATTTTTCATCAACATATTTATGGTTCATGCACTTTTCTGAATTGAAGATGCTAAAGTTTATAGGAGGCCATAGTTTTGGATAAGCTTTCTGTACTATCCCCCAGCACACCAGAGCAAACCCGAATAATCACTTGTGTTAAGTGCCAAGTAATCAACTTGAACTTTGAAATCAGGGTCAGTTTTCCAAAAGCAGGAGACTCACAGCACCAATCAGAGGGGGCCTAGTTTACCTGAGCCAGCATGACAAGGAAATCCCCTCTGTTTAATTTTATAAGGAAGGTAACTTTGAAATTACCAATCTGATTTTTGTTTCCTGTTTCTAATTTTCTTCAGCCCTTTTGTGCCTATAAAGCCAAACTCACTCAACTTGATAGAAAGAGATGTTGCCCTATTCTAGAATCACAAATAATATATTTCTATTTCCATTTTTTAAAAAAGTTTGTTTTTTACAAATTAAAACAAAGTAAGCATCCCCAGGTGTACTTTGTATAGCATTCAGTCACAAAGTTTCTGTTAGTGGATCTCAGGAAGATCTGCTCAATGTAAGCTGTCTTTTCAGCATCACAAAACATTAGCCAACGTTTCCTACCGGGTTTATTCTCATGCCTTTCCAAGGTTGGGAACTCCACATTTCTTCTGGCTCATGGTTCCCTTCTTCATGAAGGACAGGTAAAAGCTAAGTCTCTCTTATATCTTTTTTTTTGTTTTCTTTGAGACGTTGTCTCACTCTGTCAACCAGGCTGAAGTGCAGTGGCACGATCTTGGTTTACTGACACCTCCACTTCCCGGGTTCAAGCGATTCTCCTGCCTCGGCCTCTCAAACAGCTGGGACTACAGGCAGGTGCTACCACGTCCAGCTAATTTTTGTATTTTTAGCAGAGATGGGGTTTCACCATGTTGCCCAGGGTGGTCTCGAACTCCTGGTCTCAAGTGATCCACCCACGTTGGCCTCCCAAAGTGCTGGGACTACAAGCCTGAGCTACCACACCTGGCCTGCACAGGCATTTAATAAAAATTCTATTTCCAAATAGGAGTCCATTGACCTTATGGGACTTTTTTTTTTTTTCCATAAAAATAGGTGTAGAATGAATTTTTTGCAAATTTATTTTTAAAGACTGCACCCAAACGCAATGATTTTATTGGTTCCCTTTTCAAATAACTCATTAAAGTCCCTCAGTGATAAGAGACTCTGTTAAGATTTTTAAACTATGATAAAATTAGAATATATAAATAATCCTTTAATATCCATAAGCATTTGCTTTGTGTATGTTCATGATCAAATTAAAACTTAACTTTGAGACCTCACAGGTCGACAGCACGAGCTCCATTAACAAGAGTAATACAACATCCTAATCACATAGCATAGAGACAACCTTTCACTATTAAAAAGAACCATGGTAAGATCTGAATCCGGCACTTAGCGGGAACCTGCGACACGAAAGCCCGGCCAGCCCTTGGAGCCACGCAGGGTGCGATTAAGCCGGGAACACCTTGTACCACTGGCCTGCCTCGCGGCTTCTGCCTTCCCCACCGCAGCAAGAGACAGAGGGGAGGGAAAGGCTGACCGGTGTCACCTCCCACCCACCCTCTGAGTGGGCCTAAGGGAACAGCGGCGGGGCTCGCTGCAGCGCGGGCCGGTAGGGCAGCACACGCCCCCGAACGACAAAGAGGATAAACTAAAACTCTCTTTAAGTTCCCTAAGTGGGAACTCGCGACAGCGCGTCAGCTTTTTCCCACGCTCCAGCCGAACTGCCGGTTCCCTGCACCCGCCTCAGCCTGCCGAATTCCCCGGGAGCCCAGGTTCGCAGCCTCCCGCGCGCCTCGGGAAATTCGTCCAAACTTCAGCCTTCGGCGTAGCTTGAATTTACAGGCGTGCGCCGCCACGCCCGGCTACTTTTTGCATTTTTAGTAGAGACTGGGTTTCATCATGTTGGTCAGGCTGGTCTCGAACTCCTGGTCTCAGGTGATCCACCCTCCTCGGCCTTCCAAAGTGCTGAAACTACAGGCGTGAGCCACGCGCCCGGCCTAAAATCACTTTTGAAAAATGAAACCTGTCATATTTTGACTCTACATCAAGAATAAAGACAGAAAACAAACGCTATTACATCAGGCAGCAGGCCCTGGTTTTTAAACCTCTTTGGTGGCCATGGTGCATTTTGAAAACGCGATGAACGCTGTAGATAGACCCTTTCCCTCCAAACAACGGATCACGAGGTCAAGAGATCGAGACCATCTTGGTCAACATGGTGAAACCCCGTCTCTACTAAAAATATAAAAAAAATTAGCTGGGCATGGTGGCGTGTGCCTGTAATCCCAGCTACTCGGGACGCTGAGGCAGGAGAATTGCCTGAACCCAGAAGGCGGAGGTTGCGGTGAGCCGAGATCGCGCCATTGCACTCCAGCCTGGGTAACAAGAGCGAAACTCCGTCTCAAAAAAAAAAAAAAAAAAAAAAAAAAAAAAAAAAAAACCAGACTGATCTCACTGGCGCTTTTCCGGTTTCAGCACAGCTGATCACGCCCTCCACGGTCCGGGATCCGCCTCGGCCAGCGAACCATTGCTGCACTCTGGCGAGGACTCTGCTTCTAGGACTGGAATTGCGAGTGGGTGGAGTCGCCTGGAGGCAGCTGGCTCCGCCCGACCCTCCGGCGAGTCCAGAACACAGTTACCTGCCCCGGTTGCCCGCCAGAACGCAAAGGGAGAGGAACACGCCAGACCGGAAACGGAAGAGAGTGCGGGGGACTTATTTGGCACCGGGACGCGCTATTTCGGTTGCACTCCTGGTTGGCTTTGTGTCTTCGCTGTTTCCTAGAGTCTCGGCGTTCCTACCTCTGCGCCCCCTTTCCTGCCACCGTTTGTTCTCTGGAAGCCCGGAGACATCAGCGGCTGTAATTGTGCTACTCGCTGCTCGCTATGGGACGGTCAGGTACCGCAGTTCAGCGCTCTTGGCCCCGCAGGTCTTCGGAATCTCGGTGCCCTGTCCTGTACCTTCAGTCATCCCCCGACTTCCTGGGGTCGATGTTATTACCTGCTGGGTTTTAGAAGCTGTTGCTTTAAATCTGAGAAAAGAAAAATCCCGAAAAGATAAGATGACTAGCGCAAGGTCATAGCATGCGTGGAAAACAGGGCTGCTATTTCAAGCCTGATCGCTGTGCTTCATTCCTCTTGTCATCATCTCCTGTCAGTTTATCCACGCTCCAAAAGCGAAGTTGTTTTTATCTTTTGCCTCCCAAGATTTGTTTGATAGTTTCATTTCTGTATCCTTCATTTATTCTTTAGTTCATTATTGGAAAACTTTATAGCCTGCCAGTACTGGTTATAAACCCCAAATAAGGCAGTCTTCTCATCACGGAGCGTGTAGTTATAGCAAGTAGACAATACAAGTGTTGTGTAGTGAAGTAATCGCTGAGATAGTGTACGTAAGCACAGAGTGCACTATTTCTTCCAACAAGTAATTGCGGGAGGAGCAAATAGGGACACCTAACCATTGCAGGAGAGACTCCAGATATCCTTTCTGGAAGAAAAGGCTGATGAAATGAAGGTGGACCACTGGTTGAAGTTAGCCAGGAAAGAAAAGCTGTTGTGACATTCTTGGTTTTGCTGTTTATTCTCCAAGAACTTTATTATTATGAAAGCCTAATTCCACTGCATAAATTCCATGCATAACACTCAGAAGGCAATTTGATTAAGTAAAGTGCTGAAGCAGGTTAGTAGCAGTGAAGATGAGAAGGACCAGCTGAATGGAGGAGATAAACTGCACAGGTAGAATTAAGGGGATGAGACATCATGGGATAATGGTAGGATGGTCAGAGATAGCAAAGATTTCAACTGGCTGTGTTGGAGGATGAGGGTATCCTCAATGTTAGCAGAAGAATGCAGGGCCGGGGTTGAGAAAGACTTTTACATATGTTGTAGTTTTTAGAAAACAAAAAAAAAAATCTCTTTATGTCTGGGCATTTCAATATAGAAGTGTGAAAAATAGAAAGTCAGTCTGAAAGGGGCAGTCTTGAATATCGTTTTGAAGGTGTTGCATTTGAAGTACTGATGAGATGCTGTCAATGGAAACAAACTCAGGTGGAGGTTAGGTCTAGAGTTTTATTATTTTAGTGTTATGGAGTTACTTGGACATGATTTTCCTGTAATGTAGATTGCTTTCTGTGATATGACAGCAGTCTTGAAAGAAAGCATTGTAGTAAAGATTATATGTGAGATTCATTCCATCCCCCTGATTACCACTTTTCTGTTAAAATAACTTTAATATTAACTTTATTGACTTTATTTTTGAGATGGAGTTTCACTCGTAATGGCTCGATCTCGGCTCACAGCAGTCAGATTTGGTTTTGAGAATAATAAATTGTCATTCATTAACCATGTCAGAGTTTATCTACTGAACTCTGGGGTAAATGGAGGAAAGGAACAGATCTGGGAGTACCAGCACCCCTAGGCCTCCCCTGGCCACCCCAAGGAGCAGGTGATTAATATCTCAGCACACCTCTACTTATTAGTGGCACACCAGTGTGTCTTAGACCTTAGTGAGCTGTGATGTGCATGACTTTGGGTAAGTTACTTCTCTGTTTCAGTTTCCTTATCTGCAAAATGGAGACCTTAGGGAGTTAATATGTGTATGTCAAATGTACCTAAAACATAATGCACAAGGTGAGGCATGTAGCATATGCTAATAAATGGTAAGTTGCTGCTGTTATGGTTAACAATAATTATAAAAAGCAAATGGAAAGGGCTTGAATTGAGAAAAATTTTAGACACGTAGTTTTTTGCTTTATTAGCCTGCATTGTAGTTTTCATTTTTTTTCTTTAATGTGTCTTTCCAGAACAAAAAATAATATCCAAAGATATTTTGGCACTAACAGCGTGATCTGTAGCAAGAAAATGGAGCAGTCTATTTGAACTGTTGATTCTTCCAAGGAGACCTCAGAGAGCCAAGACAGTATAAAGGAAAATACGAAAAAAAGACTTATTAGACATTATTAAGGGCACAAAAGTTGAATTAAGCACAGTTAATGTACAAGCAGCAAAGCCACCCAACAGCAGACCACTTAAAATCTGCAACTGGCAGGCTTCAAAGAGCTACAGAACATGCTCCAAAGAAGAGAGAAATTTAATTGTAATTTGAATGTTGTTTGAGACTAATTTTTGAAACTCCAGTAAATTATTTTTTTTGGCAAAAACTATTTTTAAATATGAGTACTTGGGAGATGTTGAATTAATGAAGTCCAAGTTGAATTAGTGAAGAATAAATATCAGCTTGTAAACACAGGGACCCTAATAATTACTTGCTCTAATATATTTTAGAAAAAAAAAAACCTCTTATATCGGGGCATTTTAATATAGAAGTGTGAAAAATGGAAAGTCACTCTGAAAGGGTAAGTCTTGAATGTAGTGTAATGAAATGCTGTTATTGTATTATATTTATATAACAATACGATATTTTGCATACAATCCAGTGAAAGGAAAAGAGAAGTGATGTCATCAAGAATGCCACACTCTTACATATTTATTAGTGTTATTAACTGCCAGTTACTTAATTGCCTCTTTAAGCTGTTAATTAACAATACCATTTACATCCTGATTTGAAGGTAGCTTCATGTTTGTAAAGGACTTTTGAAATTTTCCATTTTAAAGATTTTTTTTGGAATAAAGTTTTAGCATGTTGATTACAACTGCTTTATAGGACTTCCTTTGACCAATAACTATCAGTGCTTTCAGCTTTCTTGGTTACCTCAGAGCATTATCATTACTTGTGCTTGTCAAAAGAGTATTATATTTAATTCTAAGTGCAACCAGTGGTATCTTGGCATTGTATTGTAGGTTAAATGGCAGTATTTTTTTTAGTGATACATAATGAGGTATTTCATGATGTCATTTTTTTTCAATAGAGGAAAAAAAGAAAAAGAGAAAGAAAGAAAAAGAATGAAATAGAGAAAGAGGAAAAGAAAGAGGGAGAGAACGGGAGTGTTGCTTTATTGCCCTGGCTAGAACGTAGTCTAAAAATGGGTATTGAAAACCTCCTTTATGCCAATAATTGTGCTTAACAATGGAGACAGGAGGGAATAAGGGAGGAAAATGACAAACAAGCAGCCAACCAATATTTCATTTAAACCTGTGAAATCCTATGCAATTGCTGAAGAGTGATTTGCTTCCTATTATGTAGTCACTTTTAGAGTAGGTGTGTTGTGGTACTGATAAGAATGTATGTTTTGTGTATTTGGGGTGGAGAGTTGTATAAATGTTTATTAAGTTTACTTGTTCCGGGTCTGAGTTCAAGTCCTGGATATCCTTGTTAGTTTTCTGTCTGATTGATCTGTCTAATATTGACAATGTGATGTTAAAGTCTCCCACTATTATTGTGTGGGAGTCTGAGTCTCTTTATAAGTCATTAAGAACTTGTCTTATGTATCTGGGTGCTCCTGTATTGGGTGCATATATATTTAGGATCGTTAGCTCTTCTTGTTGCATTGATCCTTTTACCATTATGTAATGTCCTTCTTTGCCTGTTTTGATCTTTGTTACTTTAAAGTCTATTTTATCAGAGGCGAGAATTGCAATTCCTGCTTTTTATTTATTTATTTTTGCTCTCCATTTGGTTGGTAAATCTTCCTCCATCCCTTTGAGTCTTTGTGTATCCTTGCATGTGAGATGGGTCTGGATGCAGCATACCGATGGGTTTTGGCTTTTTATCCAATTTGCCTATCTGTGTCTTTTGATTGGGGGATTTAGTCGATTTAAATTTAGGATTAATAATAATATATGAGTTTAATACTGCCATTTGATGCTAGCTGGCTGTTTTGCCCATTAGTTGATGTAAATTCTTCATTATGTTGATATTCCTTACTTTTGGTATATTTTTGGAAAGGCTGATACTGGTTGTTCCTTTCTATGCGTAGTGCTTCTTTCAGAAGCTCTTGTAAAGCAGGCCTGGTGTTGATGAAATCTCTAAGTACTTGCTTATTCACAAAAGATTTTATTTTTCCTTCACTTGTGAAGCTTAGTGGCTGGATATGAAATTCTGGGTTGAAAGTTCTTTTCTTTAAGGATGTTGAATATTGGTCCCCACTCTCTTCTGGCTTGTAGAGTTTCTGCTGAGAGATCTGCTGTGAGTCTGATAGGCTTCCCTTTGTGGGTAACCTGACCTTTCTTTCTGGCTGCCCTTAGCATTTTCTCCTTCATTTCAACCTTGGTGAATCCGACGATTATGTGCCTTGGGGTTGCTCTTCTTGAGGAATATCTTTGTGGTGTTCTCTGTGTTACCTGGAGTTGAATATTGTCATGCCTTGCTAGGTTAGGAAAGTCTTCCTGAATAATATCCTGAAGAGTATTTTCCAGCTTGGATTCATTCTCTTCCTCACATTCAGGTACACCTATCAAACATAAATTAGGTCTTTTCACATAGTCCCATATTTCTTGGAGACTTTGCTCATTCCTTTTTATCCTTTTTTCTCTAATCTTGTCTTCTCGTTTTATTTCATTGAGTTGGTTTTTGACCTCTGATATCCTTTCTTCTGTTTGATCAATTCGACTGTCAGAACCTGTGCATATTTCTCGGAGTTCTCATGTTGCATTTTTCAGCTCCATCAATTCACTTATATTCCTCTCTAAATTGTCTATTCTCGTTAGCATTTTGTCAAACCTTTTTTCAAGGTTCTTAGTTTCTTTGCATTGGGTTAGAACATAGTCTTTTTTAGCTCACAGAAGTTTCTTATTATCTACCTTCTGAAACCTGATTCTGACAATTCATCACACTCATTCTCCATCAGGCCTCATTCCCTTGCTGATGAGGAGCTAGATCCCCTGAAGGAAGAGAGGCATTCTGAGTTTGGATGTTTTCAGCCTTTTTGCGCTGGTTTCTTCCCATCTTTGTGGATTTATCCACCTGTTGTCTTTGTAATTGCTGACTTTCAGATTGGGTCG